AATGTTGAAAACGTTATACAAGAAAGTAAGAAAATTTGTGAAGGATGGCCCTTACCAGCTCTTTCCCCGAAAACTGTTCGACTAAGGGAATAAAGATGAAGGTCATCGTTTGGCTGAAACTCCCAGTTTCCCGAGACGATGAAGTAATCATCCCCTGCTCCCTTGTTGTAGTCAGGGAGGTCGGCAATGATTTTGTATTCAGTGGACCTCGGCTTGAGGTAATAGATGTGGCATTTTTTCGATTTCAGGCGACACATGGTAAAACAGTACTGGAAATCGGCAAGAGTAATCCTAGCACTCTCTTGTTTGGCTAAAGCTATGGTACCGTTAATAACTCGGTAAGAGTTGATGGCAAGTTGCATTAGGTTCAACTTATAGAAATGAAGGATTTAACAAAAAAAAGGGTCAAGTGGAAACCTAAGTCCACACTCAATAAATGTAACCACTGGAAAAGGCATGAGGTTTTCATCGGCCATAATAGAGTCATCCTCCCCAGCCAACCTTAGATGAACGTCAACCGGGATTTCGAACTCCTGCCTTAAGTACTCTAATTTTTTCGGGGTGTTTACCCTATGTTCCCACATACCCATGACGTCGGCTTAAATAGAGGTATCAGATTTCAGGAAGAAGTATTTTTAAGGGTTTAAATGACCTTGGCTAAAAACCTAAAAGTGTACTATGATAAGGGTTTGTATGGACCTAGAAGGAGTTCGTTTTAGTTTTTTCTAGCAATTTGTGGGTTTTACAAACAAGTCCCAAACCTAAAACTATGGAGATGAAGATTGAAGGGACGAATTTGGAAAACAGAAAAATAGGGATCCGTTTCAGAAACAAGAGTAGTGATGAAGTCATCAAGAAATCAAGACAAAAAATTTGCACAAATGTATCAGGCCAAGAAGAGTGCCAGAAACCAACAAGTATGTGAACAGTGCGAGTGTTCAAGATATGGACCAAGAAAAAAAATATGAAATAAACATGCTTAGATACATGATCCGTGAATCAAATATTCAAGTAAAGCAACAATGGCAACTAATGATGAAGTAAAATTTCATGAAACACAACAAGAATTGAAAACCAGGAGGAATGGTGACTTACCAGAGAAAAGAAGCTGATGCTTGAGATCGCCGAAGTCAGAAGAACGGCGGTAGCGAAACAGATTGGCAAGAACTTCGACGGAAGAAATTGATGGAGCAAGCTGCAGAGCTTCAAAGCTTGGAAAAATAGAGGATTAGAGGAAGCTAGAAAGAGAAAGAGTTCTGAATAAAGACAATGTAAAGTGAGAAAAACGAAAGGGGGAAACAAGGTTTGTCAAAAAATTGAAACAGCGGCAAAACAAAGGCAATTAATGCGCCTGGAACAGCTAATACGTCAGACGGCGTATATAGGCGCGAGACAACTTACGAACGCGTAACAAGTACGATCCAGTAAAGGGAAGGCACGTGGCCTAAAACGGTTGAGTTGTTATGTATAACAGCTCATACGCGTGAAGAAGCTCTTGGAATTCTTGATCTCTAAAAAGACATATCAGCCTATGATGATGATCTCGGCTAAACCGATGTACTGGCAGGAAGGAATGATATAGGTTCCATCACCTCAGAATGCCGAGGTAATAGAACCTAGGGGGCAGTTGTGGGGATATATTCTTTGAGTACCAACACGTGGCTAAGGTGACGCCGACGTGTCAGCCGAGGTGCCACATGTCCTGGTCACGACGCCAAGGTGATCTCGGCGAGGCCGAGGTTACCTTTGAAGATATCGGGGCGGATAAGGCACAAGAGTCCTAGAAAGGGGGAAGACTACAGTTGGGAAATGATAAGACTCTTAGGGAGTTTATCTCAATCCTTCTGGGAGTCCAAGATTAATAGTAATCCTAAATCCATTAGAGCTAGGCTCCTGTTGGGACAATGATTGAGTTAGCTATAAAGAGAGGCACCCCCGTGGGTCTAAGGTACGCAATTTATGTTCTGAACAGTGAATTTAGCACTATTGATTATCTTTGAGAGATATACTGACCTGATCGTCAGAGTGTCCTGGGTGGACGAACCACCGTCGGAATCTTCTCTTTCTGTTGTAGGTCAGCCAGGTGTCATCTATTCTGCCAGTTCTCTCCAGCTAAATACTGAGTTGGGCAGTGTGATCGGAAAATCACTCACACACTTAGTATACATCACAAATGGTATTCGGCTATAAACTTTCAAACAAATGTCAAATATTCGAATTTAAAATTATGAATAAAAATAAATTGTTCAATTATATATTCCATTCAATTATTTATATCCGAACAACTGTTTTATGTTTATAAATTTATATATGAATATTTGATTTTTGTTCAGAAATTTATATCCAAATACCATTATATGATTTGTATTGAGAGTTTGTATTGTGTGCAAATAGAATTATCCATACAATTATATTGTCTAAGCAATTACAAGAATTAATTAAAAACTTAAAATGAGATCAACTTATAAATAAATTAAGGATTATTTATCTTGGGAGTCCCTAACTAATGAGAAGTATGACTTGGACTCCTTAAAGTATAATAGCTTACAAATAGACGCCCAAAGTCACTTTGAATTCCTAAACTATAAAAACATACAAATAGATCCTCTAAATTATTGACATCATTCATTTTGACTCATTTTGTTACTTCATCATGAGTTAAACCAAAATTTTAAATATTTTTTAGATGAAAATGCCCTTTATTCCTCAATATATCTATAATTTCATTATTATTGTGTTTTAATTTTTTTAAATATAACATTTATCCATTATTATTGTTTTTATTATTATTTTTTTAAATATTCTTTGTAAATATATTTTTGAAGAATTTTTAAAAAAAAAAACTATAATAAAACAGAAAAATTAAGAAGTATTGTTGGCTGTGATGTATGGAGTATTCCACGAGTTAAACCAAACTTTTAAATATTTTTTAGATGGAAATACCCTTCATCACTCTATATATTCACAATTTCATTATTATTATTTTTTTAATTTTTTTTTTTGTAAAATATAAGCAATCATCCATTATTATCGTTTTATTATCATCATTTAGGTAAATTACGTTGGTAGTCCCTTTATTTTGGCCCTTGTGTCATTTTGATTATTGTAATTTGAATTGGCTTAATTTTAATTCTGAATTTATGAATTAATTTAGTCCAATTTGTTACAAATGTTAGCACTTTTTAATTAAAAAAAATACATAACATTAGTGATATTTGCCATGTTCTTAGAAGCAAAATTACAACTTGGTAAGTTTATTTCAACTAATTTAGCGATTATTTTCTATCAAAAACACTAATAATATTATCAATTTAACCAAATTGACACAAAATCTAAAATTAAGGGTCAAAATTGAGCCAATTGAAAGTGTAGGAACCAAATTAACATAAGAGACAAAATATAAGGACTACTAGTGTAATTTATCCTTATTTTTTAAAATATTCTTTGTAAATATATTTTTACAAGAAAAATATTTAAAAAATAATAATAAAACAAAAAAATGGGAAAAATTGAAAAGTGTTCTTGGGTGTATTATATAGAGTGTTGAAGGGTATTTTCGTCTAAAAAATGTCAATGCAATATAAGGTCAAAGTGAAGGGTGTCTCTATTTACACATCACATTTCATCTCAAAGCACACCACTACTCAAGGCATACCTTTAGTAATTTGATAAGGCCTATTTTGGGAAGTGGGTTAAAAGCCACTTCTCAGCTTTTGTCCCATTTCCCTCTCTCACAAAAAAGTCAAAAAGCAACTTTTAATTATCTTCCCAAAACACCCCAATATGAAATTTGCTTAATACACACCACAATCTTTCATCTTTACCTTTACTCATGCACCCCACCTACAATCTTACATCTTTATCTTTACTCACTCACACATCACACCCTCGATCTTCAATCTTTCATTTCCTTAAAAAAATTTATTACATCTTTATCCTTCTAGTCAATTACATTTTTAACCTTCATACAAATTTCTCAATCCACACAACATAAATTTTATTGCAAGTTGCAATGTCAACAGTGAAGGAAGAGGCAACGCGAGTAGCTGCCATGGCAAGAACGCAAATGGATTGGGGATTGAAACAAAAAGGAGATGGTGTCGGTCGGAGAGTAACGGTAGCAGAAAGAGGTTGGATTGGGGATTGAAACAAAAAGGAGATGGTGTCGGTCGGAGAGTAACGACAGCAGAAAGAGGTAAGACGGCTGACAACAATGGTTGATGGCGATGGCAGTGGCGGCGACTGCAGGGTAGAGTTAGGGTTATGGTTACGGTTATGGTTAGAGAAGATGATATTTTGAAAATATTTAAAAATTGATAGCGTGTATTGAGTGAAAAATCAAAAATCAAAATTGGGTGTAGTGTGCAATAAGTAATTGGTGTGTATTACGTAAGGTGTGTATCATATCCTTTTATCATTTGTGATCATTTTACATTAGGTTAATATTATAATAAAAAATAAACTAATTAATGGTATGCCTTGAGATGAAAAGTGATATGTAAATAGAGCCACCCCAAAGTGAAACATGTCAATAGTTTAGAGAATCCATTTGTGTTTTTATAGTTTAAGAGTCAAAGTGATACTTCTCAATAATTTAAGAAATCTATTTATACATTTTTATAGTTTAGGAAGGTCAAAATGAGATTTTTCAATAATTTACAAAGTCTCTGCGTAAATAACCCATAAATTAAAGCACAACCAACCTTAATTATGAAGTTAAATTACTTGAAATATGAGAAATAAAATTACTTAATAGGATAAAGTGAATAATATGGGTCGGCTACTTACACATGACTTGCCTCATATTACAATTTTTTTGGAAAATAAAAAGAGAAGAAATACATAGAAGGAAAATTTTCCTAACCATGCTCATAAAAATAAAGCATAGCATACAAACTTCGTGCTCTTATGTCAAGAGCTGAAAGCCAAAAAGAACCACAAAAGTCGAATCGTTCAAGACATAATGAAAAGCTAATATAGCAAGTCATAGTACCAAAAAATAAAAAGGAGAAAAGAATTGCAAAGAAGTCGATTAAGCAGCGATTTAAGCCAGTACAAAACTTATGATCCTACAGATATCACACTTCTTGACACGGGGAGACAACGACCTCAGGCACTAGAAAGTTGATTACAAATTTATATAGCTCATTAATAGAAACAATATATATAGTGCACAAAGAAATATCACACATGAATCAAAAAGTGAAAATATGTACATAGCACAAGATGTGATGAGCAATGTCTCTGCAGCATTAGATAACATCTAAATAGAGTTTTATTCGGGTTTGGATGGTGTTTAACAGATGGGACATAACTGAAGATCTTCCCCACAATTGCAGCAAGTCTGCACAAAAACAATGAGTTAAATCATCGATGTAGCTTCAACTTATTTCTGAAAAGGTTTTGTGATATGAATGACTATTTTACCTGATGTCCGCAACCAAACGCCATATTCTTTGGATTAATGAAGCAGATTCAGCAAACCTATTGAGTAGGCAAAATAAAAAAGAAATAAGTTTCGAATTGATTTAATGCTTGTTTCTGAAGGGAAATTTTTTTTTTCTTATATTTGGTTGCATCCTTAAAACTAATTTACTAATGATAGTATTAGTGGTGGTGGAGGTGGAGGTGGAGGTGGAGGAGGAGGAGGAGGTGGGGTGGGCGTGGTGGTGGTGGTGGTGCATTGGTAAGTTAGATCTTAGTCTGAAAAACTCTTTTGAAAATAGAAAACAGTTTCTACCCAAATAGGATTGTTTGCCATTGACTACGTAAAACATTTTCCATTGACTTTCAGTTGTGTTATACTGAAAGTCAAAAATATTTTTTTGCTCGAACAAACGGAGTGTAAGATCACGCAAGAATTATGATATTGCAATTTATTATTCCACAACTAAAGGAGGCTGAAAACAAGAAAATAGGGAATTACAAAAAAAAGTGTTCTTTTAAAACAGTGATGAGAATGCACTTACCTTGTCATCTGAATTAGAATTAGCAGGCTGACATGTCCCAGCGACGACATTATGTCCATCGAAATCAGGTTCACTTGGGCAGAAACTGCTAGGTTGTGAATGTTTTGGTATGGGTGGAGGGGGCAAAGGAACCCTATTTATAGCCGCCCCACTAGGATAACTGATTGAACAATGTAGCATAAATAAATAAATTATACAAAATTTGACCATGGACAAGAAAGCCAAATCCTCAACTCTAATGTAGAGAATTCTAATTGTTACCCCGATATTTGAAGATTTAATGTTTCTTTATATTGTGACGGTATTCCCCTCAAGGCCGCTACAGCAAATGCTGCTTCTTTACTAGATATGTCCATATTCTTTTTCATAATTTCGGTAAAATTCACAAACTAAAAAGGAAAAACATAGAATTAGAGCAAATAAGATAAACAGACAAGATTCAATTTTCTGCTATATTACTACTAATACTTGCCTGGAATTTGGATGACACACGAACATTATAGCAATCAAGAAAGTTCTTCATCGTGCCCCATGGCCCATCTCCAACCCCAACTACAATTATTGACAATGGATATTTTCTACAAATAAACAAGAAGCACATTTGAAAAAGTTTTAGCATTTGAAGTGTTTTCGCAATAGAGCTGTCACAAAGGAAACTTACAACCTGCAAGTTACCTTGCTTTCACAATAGCGTCAATAGTTTCCTTTACTTGCGGGCTTGGGTTCCAATCATCCGCATTTCCTGTTACCTATGACAACCAGTAATTAATAGGACCTTGAGAGTTTGAAGTTGAAATGTGATCACCAAAGCAAGATAGAGAACTTGATAATTGGAATATAGACCTAGAATTTCATTTACCTATTGCCACTAAATAAACTTACACACAATACCAGTAGGCACATCAACAGGCAAAAGTGGCAGTTTCGCTTCATATTGCCATTTGCAATATAAGTTACGGCACATCAGGCAATTAAAACAAACCTACCTTAGACAAAATATCATATTAAACTAAAAAATCCAGAACAAAAATAGATACCGGTCCATCTGCTATTATTAATAAAACATAGTATTGGCGGTGACTTCGCTCAACAATAGTGATGGCCATTTCAATGATGGGAGCAAATGATGTTGGCCCTGCCACATCAAAGATGCAAAAATATCATAAGCTGCAAAATACAAGAGTAAGAACAATAAAGGAAGTGGATGAAACCAATTTCAACCGGAAAGTTTTAGGTGAGGGACTAATTCTTTATAACGTGTCAGCACTTCCTCAAATCCATTGCAAATTCTTTTTTCTGGATAGAAACTAAAGACGTCTCTGTCAAGCGTTGAAGCTGCCAACATTGAATTAACATATGATCACCATTAGCTGGAAAATATACTATACACTATATTAGAGGTTTCTTTATTAGAAAATACCATCTCCAAACCCAAAACAAGGAATCAAGTTATTGTCAAGAAAGCCGGATAATGTTCTTCCAATAATTGATATTGCTTGTTCATAAGGGTTCTGTTCATCACCAATATGATGCAAGCTTCTCCCATGAAATGACGTTGCACCTGATACCAAGTATCAACACAAGTCAAGCATGTAGCAGTGTTACTAAAAAAACTAACATACTAAGATGAGATCAAACCTGCCCACTTATTGGTCCTTGTGAAATCAATACCAACAATAAGATTTGCAGTTTCTAGGCCACTATGTGCTAAGGCTGTCGTAACCTGTTAGAAAAGAAGTAAACTTGGTTGGGCTATTACTTTTAAGAGAATTTTTCAAATGGGATCACCCATGTAGGTAAAAGCACCATCAATAAGTGAGAATTAATCTCAAATTTGTACCAATCACACATACACATCACAACAATATTCAATATTTAATGAGTAATCAACCAATAAAATTAGGTAAAACCAAGTATTGTGCTTTGCAAACAAATTCAAGCATATGCACTATTCAGCCAGGCCATACAGATAAATCCATTTGTTATGACATACATTTTGATACATAAATCAATATTGCAATATAGTATATACCTAATCTCAGTTCTTGTGTCAATCATGGAATCTAAAATCTAAAATCACCAGGTACAATTAAATCTAAACTCCATTCATAAATAGAGAAGCATTTACCAAGATAACATTACTAATGACAGGAGTTCCATAACCAATGCCTTCCAACCTCAATACTCATGAGATCAAACACAAAATTTAAAAATCATTATGTCAATGAAAACACTGATATCTAGGTTCCATGCAGGATAATGAGTAGTAAATTGCAACATAGTATACCTAATGTTCTGGTTTCCACATTATTGGCAATCATCTTGCCCTTTTATTATTACTCAAATAAGTAAAAATATTATGTTACCTCATCTATATTGTTGAAATTGTTCTCGGACTTTCTTTCTGACACTGAAGGTTGACCACCAGAGCTTTGAGTTGGACGTGAGGTAACATAGACTACATTCGGTTGAGCAGTATAGCGATATGTTCTTGCCCTTTTAGAACTTATGCAACCCATGGCCTTTATTAGTCACAAAGGCTCTGCAGCATCCAACAAATGTGACTTCTTCTAGTTATACATAGATTAAATATTACAATAATTGAAAAAGCATTCAAACAATTATTTTTTATTTTTTATTTAAAAAAAAAGAAAAAAATACAACTATAAGAATACTAACAGACCACATGAAGCTTACTTTTTAGCAATAATCAAACAATAACGTAATTGGAATATGCATTATCTAAAAAAGACGGTCCTAGTACCCAAGGTCTAATGTTCTGAGAACCGTTGATCAAATTGGAAAAGGGATCAGATTAAGAATAAATCAATTGGGTCAACCGAAATCGAACCATGATGTATTAATTACCTCATAAATATATTAAAAATTATAAGAAAAATAATAGTAGTTATTCAAATACATTCATGTAAATTATTTTTACATTTTAAGATACATATGTATTTACATAAATATAGCTTTCTAAATATAATGTTCATACATATATAAATATACATATATATATATATATATATATTGATTGTGTGCCTGCTAAAAGAGCAACTTGGGTTTATTCAAATACATTCATTTTAATTATTTTTAAATTTTAAGATTTCTATTGGGAAAAATAAATCCCGGCCATAAACTTTGATACCACCATATAAATTATGAACTCGTGTCAGTGGAAGCTTACCCACAAAAATATGTACACACAAAATAATCACACAATATTTAACGTAGTTTAGTCCAAATGCCTACATCCACGGGACGGGTAAATCCACTATAAACATAAAATAGAGAGTACATATATGATGACCAAAATACCCAAAATTCACACCACTACTCGAACCCATGTCAAATTAGTTGAGCCCTTATTCACCCGAGCTTAGATCTGTTAAAGTTGAAATCTCAACTTCACAGGTGAGGTTAGATGCATTATATAACTAATTGGTACCCATATCAATAATCTAAACCTTTTATTTCACATGACAAGTTAAGAAAAACATGCATGAAAAAAAAATTAAGTTAATCAAATATAAATAATCACATGATCAAACCACACATATATATAACATATAGATAGTCTATTATTAAAAACATGTAGGCCGTATAAATAAAAATAATCTAATAGTATGACAGATCGATATTAAATCAACTTAATTTTTTTTATAGATAATTTTCTTAGTAAGTTGTATAAGATGAAGTGAGTCTAAGTTAGTTTGATAATGGACCAACTTGACAGTGAAATTGATGAGCAAATCCAAAATCTAAAAACACCTATGGTTTTCTTATATTTATCATTTCTATGCAAAAATAGTTTTCAAAAATTGACAATTTTTTTAGTATTTCCTAAAAAAGTGGATTATTTATAACTTCCGAAAATAATTCGTCAAATAATTTTTTGGTTTAAAAAATTTGAAGAAAAAAAAAATCTACACACACACAACTAAACAAGCCCAACTTAACCTAAATTGATTCAAATCAAAGTACATAAATAAATGTAAATATAGGAACATAAAACACAATATATAAAATCATTTTTACCTTTGGCAAAGGTAGAAAACCTTTGAGTTGCCTTTGAGATCGTTAAGAGGGCACCAGTGATGACTACAACTAAGAGGACACCAGTGAAGACTACAACTAATGCCTTTTATATTGGTGAAGTTGTATTATTGAGATTACTCTTTCCTTAGGCTATGATTGGGATAAATTTTTTTTGGCTATTTTAGTTCAAAAAGGTAGAATAGATTGAAATGTTAAGAAGATAAAATATTACATTTAAATTATAATTATTTTATTTTATTTTTCATAAAAGTTTAAAAAATTAAAAAATTTATTCTAAACAAAATTTTTTAATCCTAAACTAAAAAAATTAAAAAATCAATTCACATCCCAAACTAAGATGTAGAGATAAGTGTAGTGAAGACTACAACTAAAGGTTGATTTGGAATATCCCAAAAAATTTAAAAAGCCAAAAAGTTATTAAAAAAGTTAAAAAGTTATTACTATTTACAAAAAAAAATAAAATTTACACATAAATTATTACAACTGAACCGTCCCACAAACTGTTGTTGAGTTGTTGAAATGATTTGGAAAAATTGCACAGGCGGGATGCACAAACAACACAGTGCTGTTCGGCCCGTGAAGGCCCATCATGGGTCCCGTTTTGATAATCTGAACCGTTCAATATGTAGAACTTATCGAGTACTATATGTCTATTACAAAACACGTTGATCGGATATCGCTAACTACATGATTAAATCAGTTTTGTATAAAAAAGGATAGTGTTATAGTTAACGGGTGAAAAAAACCTAACCGATCAAATAGTTATCGATATCCAATCAACGTGTTTTTTTACAAGCATATAGTACTCGACGAGTTCTACACGTTGAACGGTTCAAATTATCAAAACGGGACCCGTGATAGCTCCCACGGACCGAATAATACCGTCCAATATAATGCTCGAAAAGTAGGCAACCATTTCTTATCATCAATTCACTCTCCTAGACGGTATGGCCTATTGTTCTTATTTTCTCCTACACACTAATTTATATAATTTTTTAATACATATTTTTTCGTAAAAAATTAAAAAATTAACTAAAATAATCATATTTTTTTTCTCAACTTTTTAATTAAAAAAATTAAAAAAAATATTTATTTAGGATATCCTAAACAGTTCCTAAAGACTTTTTATGTTGGTGAAGTTGTATTATTGAGATTACATAGAGATAAGCATGACAAAAGTGCTGGATGTGGCCATTATAGGAGGGCCAATGCTATGTGATAGATACATAGACATACCTCAACAAAATGTGTACTTTATATAAGTTACAATATTTGTGGGATTGATGATGATAAATATTATAATTCAATTTTATAAGAATTATAATTAAAAAAAAAATGAGTTATAAATATCACATATGTATAATTAATAAATTTTTGAATTATAATTAAAATAATATTATAATAAGATTATAATATATCATAATTAATACCATAATATATATAATTAAATCATAATTAACACTTTAATAGATCATAATTAAAAATCACAAAAATCATAATTAGGACATATATGATACACACCCTCGTCTTCTTCAAAATGAGGTCGGTTTGGGACTAAATTTATATAAAAAAAACAAAATCAATTCATTTCCTCCTTCCCTCTTCCTCCAAAACGATGTGAATTATAGTCAATGAAATATAGAGGATTTGAACTCTTTTTCCATTATCATCGTATAAATCTGGGGGTGTAATTTGGGTAGATTTGGTCAGGTTAGAAGGTTGTTTAAGTCTAACTTAAGTTATGCTGAGATCTGCTCAAGTCTGAATTGTAATTCGAAGTTGTCTGTCCAAGTTCGACTTGAGTTAAACCCAAGCTGTCCGAATTGTCCATTTTTTTCCCCAGCTACATTATTAAATTATTAAAATTTGACTTTATTTATATATAGAAAATCATTAATACTATCAAAACAAATAATTTGTATAATGTAAAAGAGATGTCGCTATAGTAGTCTTTACAATTTATGAGTGAAAATAAAAAAAAGTAAGATTTTATGTTATTTGTATATATAATATATATTCAATATGATTTAATAATCTAAATTATTTTAATATCATGTAATGACTAATAATTTAGGGGTTTTTTTTTTAGGGTCCCTGGTATTAAGACTTTATATTATAAAGGACATTCAATATTTTCATAATGTCTAAGGTTCCTCAACATTGATCCAGAGAAATTTCAATCCAGAGAAATTCTGTCTAGAGAAATTTGCTCCAGAGAAATTCTGGACTTCCCAAAGAATTTCTCTAGATTGTACCTACAGAAAATTCAAATTTCTCTGGGTTCATTTTGACCAATTTTCTCTGGTTTCAAATTCAAATTCAAATTTCTCTGGGTTCATTTATAAACCAGAGAAAATTCAAATTTCTCTGGATTCATTTTAACCAATTTTCTCTAAATCACACTATTATTTTATGAAATCATTTTGACCAATTTTCTCTGGATTCAAATTCAAATTCAAATATTGTGGATCTATTTCATTATCAAAAATATGAGAGGGACTAGTAGCACCATGAAAGCCATATAAGCAAGAGCACTTTGATAGCATCAACACAAATACACAACATGACAAATGATTAACTAGAGATAGCATGAGGCAATAATAAAGCTTCCAGAGAAATTTGAACAATCCAAAGACTTACCAGAGAAATTTGAACAACCAGAGAAATTTGAACAATCCAGAGAAAATGGTAAACAAATCAAAGAAAATTTTAAGTAAACCAGAGAGAATTTTTTTAGTTTGGAGAAAATTTCTCTGGTTTGGACCAGAGAAATTCAAAGCAAGATGGTTGTTGTTGAAAAACCTTAATACCAAGGACCAATCCAGAGAAATTTCAGTTCAAACCTGAGAATTTCTCTGGACCACCCAGAGAAATGTGCATCAATCAGCTGTGTATTTGTCTCAATCAACATCATTAATTGACAGAATTTTATAACACGAATGGCTGCTCAAAGAAGCACAGTTTCGGTGTATCTTAAACAATGGTGGCGCTGTCAAATGGAAAACAAGTGTTGCTAAGTTAACCACATGGAAAAAATGTTAAAACTGTTCCACAAATAAGGGTGCCATAAACATGAAAGGTGGTATGAAGGTTGCAATTGTATGTTGCCTATTATTACAACACTGCTTAATTTGTATCATGAAGGAGTCAAGATTACACATAGCATTTCACAAACATAACAGCAACAACAGGGACATGAGATTAACCATAACCAAGCTTTGAAGGAGGATCAAGCAAGTCGAATCTTTCGAGATTTCCCGTATTTGTTTTCTCAGGCCAGTGATCTTACAGTCAATGACGTAGAACAACTTCTAAATAATTACAAACATCTCGTCTTTAATTACGTTTGTCTTTCTAAAGGATTGGGTGTTGCAAACCCTTCTCCTCCGTTGTCTATTTCGCAAAGTTAATCCCAACATCAAACTGAAAATGTGAAGGAATTTGAAGATTCAAGTGCAGTCTCACTACTTGGAGTGGAAAATTCTGAATACAAGATACCCTAAGATGAACCAGTAGAATCTCAAAGTGAGGGAAATGATGAGATTTCCCACAGTTAAATCAGTAGAATCTCTCCGCAGAGTCAGCGAAGATCAACCTCGAATCGGTGATCGCGAACGTTCAATCGACTCCTCTGCTTCCATTCACGACTCGGCCGATGTGTTTCTCGCCATCGTCTACTTCGAATTCATCAGAGATCGCTGCTGACGAAGGGGTGGGATTTGGGGGTAGGGTAGACGAAGATCTTGAAGCTTTTGTTCATTTGATTGTAGGGGAGAGAGAGAGAGAGAAAGGGGAATCGTGGGCAAATAGTCAAATTTCTCTGATACATGTTTAGAGACCTTAGACATGAAAAAATAATTTTGTGGATCTCTTCCATTATGAAAAGTGGGGGAGGGATCCTAGACTAATTTTTTCAATGATTTATATATATTTAATATTTTTATATATATCTATATATGTATAATTCGAGTTTCGGGTTGTTTGATATCTTTGACCAAGCCCATCTAAATTTAATTCGGGCTTCTGAATTTTTGCCAAAGTCCGTACCGAATTTAAAAATAACTTGTCCAAGTCTTAAAAAAATTCGAACCGAGTTTGGGTTGCTTGGATTGAGCCCGCCCAAGTTGCACCCCTATATAAATCTATATAAATATAAGAAATAGTTTCTCTCCGGCTTGATGCCCGACTTAGAGGTGTTGTTGGGTTCGACGGACCTATTTTGGGCCTACTTTGATGATCTAATTAACATGAAGGGCCCATTAAAAGATTAATCATTAAAATTTTTAAAATTCATTAGATATTTGATCATATTTTTACAATATATGGACGGAGATACACTTGTAAATTAAACATAATTGTCTGGGGTTCATTTGAATTATTAAAAATTAATTTAAGATTAATTTATTATACAAACAGTATATATTTAAATATATTTTAAAATTTGTTAAATTTTAACTTGCTAATCTAATCACTGACTACTTTCTTGAATAAAGAATGCAAAAAATAATGAACATTAAAAATGAAAAAGATTTGATTTTCAGTGCTGGGTACATTATTGATAGACGACTTTACGTGGAGTCTTCAATCAATTTGTACGATAAAGAACACTTTTTAAAAGCAGAACATTTAAAAAAAAAAAAGCTTGTTTGGTACATACCTTTATGGGAGCAGCTAGTTTCAGGAAAATGCCAGGAATGAAATTGGGAGATTTTATTCTTAACCCCCAAGAAATCTCACTAGACGTCATTTATTTTTGGAGGAAATTCTACTATACATAACTCTTGAAATAAAGGTATTATATATATCTTAATTATATTACTTTTTTTAGTTAAGATTAGTTAAAATTAATTTTCTTCTTTAATTATAATATTATAATAATTATCTTAATTATGACTCATAAAATTTTTTATTATACCTCAGGTAATGTTTAGTTATATATATATATATATTTTAGTTATGACTCGTAAAGTATAGAGATATATCAATTTTTTTTTTAGTTATAAGGTGTATATAGTGTTTCCTTTGTTTGGATATAAACTTTTAAACAATAGGTAAAACAAAATTAAAAAGAAAACGAAATTAAAATTTTCTTCTTTCAAACTCACAAACAAAATTAAATAATTCTGATCTATCATG